AAAAAAAAAAAAAAAAAAATTATTTTCAAAAATTCATGCCTGGTGCTGTTGACAGCATCTCCAAACATGAAGAGGAACAGCCATCAAAAAAGTAAAGATCATTATTTTAATTTCCATTTAATATAGAATGATCAATATTTTAGGGGGGAAAAGACAGAATAATTATGGAGTAAAGTGTTTATAGAAACTTTTCTACCATGACTACCTCATTATTATTCTTAAAAGTTAATTACATTGTTTTATTCTACTAGTAAACTAATTTGTTTTTTCAATTAGTGCAGCAAGTTTCAGACCTGATTGACTCTTTCTTTATTTTACTAAAGTTAACACTTGATTGTTCAAAAAGTCATTTAGAGAGGCAACCAAGTTAAATGCACATCCTAGCCGGCAGAGAAATTGGTTATCTACAAGTTATCTGCAAGTGAAGCAAAACCCACAGAATCTGAGGCCTAGCTGTTTTCTCTTCACATAATTTTCTCCTGGAAATAACCTGGTGCTTTTCTGATGCTTGGGACTACAATTCCCCTGAATCTCATTATAATAATGAAAGATAAATTATTGTGTCAGTTACAGTTTAAACTACCCAGAAGGCACCCAGTTTGTCTCCTTCAAAAATATTCTGTGAACCCCAAAGTATCTTCAAATTGTTTCTGAATGTCTGTCTGTCTGTCTTATATCTATCTCCAATACAGCAACACATTTTGGTAATCTGTGTTGTCTAGTAGTAATGCAGTGAAAACTTGTAGCTCTGCATGCAGTATTGTGTCAAATTGGGAGAAGATATCCTACGAAACCCAGTGGCTTGAACAAAAACCTGCGCTTGTCAGAGAAGAGAGGCAGACTGATTGTGTGATTCTTTATGCTCTCACAGATGCTAGGGACAGCTGTTTCCCAGGTGGCTGTTAGATCCAACTGTAAAAGTCAGCAGAAGAGGATCTGCTTTGGAAAAGGGGTGGTGGTGGTGAATGGGAGCCAGGAGGTGTCCATGGAAACCTGGTCTCCACTCCAAATAAATCCCAGACAGTGCCTGGCTGGGGTTCCATTTCAGGTATGAATGAACAGAGTGGATTTATAATGTAGGCTTCATTTTAGCTTCAAGATTGAGAAGCAAGCCTTGCAGGCTTGAAGTTGGGACCTTTCTCTGTCACTGTTAGTGTTTCTTTGATGCCATCAGGAAAACAGGATGTGGTGGCATCAGCAGCGGAGAGCAGGAAGTTCTGCATTGCCTGGCAAAATCTGCAAGTAGGATCCCTAGCGTATGTTTGGCATTATTTAAACCAGAAGGGACTCTTTGTTAAATTAAAACAGATTGTCCCATTTTTCAAAGTTGACTTATCATCCAAATGGATTTCCTACTTAAGGGCATTTTAGATAACACTGATTTGAGGTATTTTCCATCTATCTACCCCAGTCATCAGCTTAGCTTCAGAAATCGTAAGACCAGAGGCAAATTTGTGTTATGTTCTTAACGCTTGGCTGCATTAAAAGCTTATTTATTAACTTCTGTTGCGTTTCTTGTTCTTCTTAGGAGCAGCATTTAAATAGCTGAAGATCAGCCAATTATTTTCTTAACACAATTTGATCAGTGGTAAAATTGCTGCATAGTTTTGAGAGGTGGATTTCCTACAAACTCTCCAGCCTCATCTAATAAGGGCTTGAATGCATTCGAAGAAGAGAAAAAAGACATTAGTTTAACAGAACCAATTCATACATATACGAGGAGGAAGGTATGGAACAGCATTGAAACGCACACATTTTCCTGTTTGAGGACATTTTTTGTCATGCAGCAACTAGGCTGCAATGCATACAGAAAAATTAAGTGTTAGATTAGCAAGAGTTGTGGACCAATTATAGATTGATAGTAGTTGAGCATCTCTTCCTAGAAGTCCTGTTGTTGGGGGCAGGAAGAAAGAGTAACTGCCTTGTACAAATAGTTACAGCACATCAATGTGTGAGGTTCCTTTTATGGTCTGCATATAATAAGCTGAGATAGGAGTGATGACAGGAAGATGAATTGTACCAGTGTAAAAGTCTGTTCCAAAAGTGTGATTCCCCCCCCCCCCCCCC